TAGCATGTTAACATTTGCTGATTAGCACTAAACGGAGGTTGATATGAATTACATCATTTGGGGGAACAGATGGTAAGTGTAAAAATGTACAATAAAAAGGTTTAAAATGTAAACTAATCTTAGGAAAATTCATCCAGAGGGGAACATGTCAACCTCATGTTGGCGCTAAAGAAAAAGTAATCGGATTGACAAAGTCTGTAGGTTTCATCGTGAGGGAACCATGAATGTCTTTCCAAAATAATGAATAGGTTTAATAGTTATTAAGATATTACAACCGCCATCAATGTAAGGTGCAAACCATCACACTGAAATGTTACATCGCTAAAAAAGGCAGCAGAGAATCCTCACTGTCATATTCTTTTGTTACGACCCTCTTGTGTCTTTAGTGTTGTCTTATAAAGGGATCTAACTTTACATTTAATATGTTTTGAAACCTTTGTGTTTTTTGTTCTACAGAGAAAGTCATCTTCAAGCCCAATGATGTTTCAGTGTTCTCCACGCTCAGCGTAAACGGACGGCTGTTTGTGTGCCGGAGGGATCAGTTGGATTCTTTGGTGGGTTAATCTCTAATTACACAGCACATTGTCATCACATAAAAGAGGGATCAGTGAAACTCAGGCATGGCTGTACATCTCTGAAAACTGTTGCTGCACACTTTTTTGATATTATAAACTGTAAGTATCCACGCTCTTGAATCCAAATAGCTTTTAAGCAACCTGGTGAATGTATTGATTATTGGATATTTACAATGTATTATTTGTTAAGTCAAACTACAGTATTTACCCTTATCAGCAGCTTACTGCATTTCTGTCTTGTCATTTTAACATTTTGATGTATTTCGGCTCATGTTGATGTCACACCTCTGTGGTTCTATCCATCGTTTTTAAATTGTCGAACTCATAAAACATTAGATTACATGATTATAAAACATAAAAGGCTGTTTTTTCTTATTTCCAGACCCCTCTACCTGAACAGGATGGTTCCTCTACAGCGCTGTTGGCTGGTTTTGAGTTAATGAGCTCTAAGGATGTAGCTTACCACATGACTTCCTATGATTGGGAGCTTTTTCACTGTGTCCACGAGGTATGACCAGATGCCATCGGCAGAACTGATTGATTAATAGAACACATGTTGTAATATTATAGAATTAATTAAAGATAATAAATGATAATGTTTTCTTTGATGTCTTACAGCTTGAACTCATCTACCACACGTTTGGGAGGCAAAACGTCAAGAAGACCACGGTGAACCTGGACCTGTTCCTGAGGAGGTTTAATGAGATTCAGTTTTGGGTGATCACAGAGGTGTGTCTGTGTTCTCAGCTCAGCAAGAGGGTGCAGCTTCTCAAGAAGTTCATCAAGATTGCTGCCCAGTAAGTGGACCTTGTTTCAGTGTCTTAATACATCCCTTTGACCCAGCTTGTAATTTCGTTTTTTCACTACTTTTCATTTTTCCTTTCAAAGCTGCAAGGAATACAGAAACCTGAACGCCTTCTTTGCTATCATTATGGGACTGAGTAACCCAGCAGTGTGCAGATTGAGTCAGACCTGGGAGGTGGGTACCTGTCCGTGTCAAAATTATTCTTAACCAAACTGCAATCTAACCTTTTAATATAATCTTTCCACAGAAACTCCCAAGCAAATTCAAGAAGTTTTACGGGGAATTTGAAAACTTTATGGTAAGTTGAAACGACTCACTTACTTTCTTTGAGCTGTAGTGTTTTTGTCATAAATCACCCCATCTTGCAATGTCAGCTGGTCAAGTGCGGGTCTCGCCTCTTCTACTCGGCCTGATCGTGATGGATCTGTTTAACACGGCGACGGCAGATCTCAGAACAGTGTGATTGTTTCCACAGGACCCGTCCAGGAACCACCGGGCGTACCGACTGACAGTTTCCAAACTGGAGCCTCCCATCATTCCCTTCATGCCGCTGCTGATCAAAGGTCAGAGTTGTTTATTAGATGACCCGTTTATTTTTAAGTCAACATAATTTGAAGCTTTGCCACCTTTGTTGTTGAAATGCTTTTTCACCAGCTTTAACCGTCTCAACAATTGGTCTTTTCCAGACATGACATTTACTCATGAGGGCAACAAGACATTTATCGACTGTTTGGTCAATTTTGAGAAAATGGTGAGGCTCTGAAGGTGCACATTATTGTCAGTTGGTGTAAATGTCTATTTTTTTAGCCATTCACTTAACTGCTGATATCTGTTGCTGATTATAGCTCTTTGTCTTTCAGCGGATGATCGCTAACACGGTGAAGATAGTGAGATACTGCCGGAGCCAACCGTTCAGTGAGTGTGCATCCAATAGTTTTATTTTGTAGCGAGAATAAATGGGAATACCAAAAGGTTTGATGATGCATTTAAATGAGACTGTAGTTTTTTCTGATGATTCTTTTCATTTTTACTCATTCTTTCAATTAATTAAGGCCCAGATTCACCTCTGGCCAGCAAGAGCCACCCAGAAGTTCGCACTTACGTACGTCAGCTCAACGTGATCGACAACCAAAGGACGCTAACTCAGCTCTCTCATGGACTTGAGCCTCGCAGGTCTTGAAACCACTCAGGGACAGAAATGTTACACTCTGATGCTGCTTTACTCATGACATGCGCTTACATTGGGATGGATTCACTCTAAAACAGGCAATTGCATGAAGAGGACCTAATGATGTCTCAGATAATGAGATATTGTTTCAGAAAGTCTTTTATCACAGTGAGCTTTAACAACGGTAATTGTTGGTGGCCTCATATCACTGTGCTGCACCATCTTATCTAAGTCAAACAACAGCAACAATTTAAGGAATTACCAGGCATGGGGAGGGGTGCCATTCATCAGATTAACATTTTAGACGTAAACACTATGTGACGCTTATGCTTTAAAAATGCAAAGTCTTGATATTCCTGATATTCAGTTGTTTCGTATCTTTTGTATCAAACAATATTTGTATAAGTTTGTGAGAATCTGTGTTGTAAACTGTAAACAAATATTTATTTTGACATCAGCATGCAAAAAGTTGTGATGATTGTTTGCTTTTTTATTCATGTCAGCACATTTCTCTTTGGAGTTACAGTAAATGTCTGAAAACCTTTTGAGTGCTGAAAGTATTAAATATTTTAGATGTACTTGTGCGTTGTACAATCTTTCATTGTGTTGTTTTGCCGATTCATAAGTTCATCATTCCGTATACCATAAGAGTTTCTAAACCTCTCAGACTTGTTTAGTTAGTGCCATTCAGGTTTGTCCAATACATTATCGCCTGAGGATTGAGGAGGAGAGGATGTACAATATTTGGAGCAATAGAATAAGAGAAACCACCAATCAGAAGCCAGTATTTGTCCTTTCCTGGATTTAGCTCTTTTTCAATTAACCTTACACATTTTTTACGTTATGTTGTCAAATAAGTTAAGTGAGTAAGTGGAAGGAATATAACATTTTCTTCTAACATGAAGTTGAGTAGTATAAATTACAGTAGTATTAAATGGAAATGCCAAATTAAAGTACAAGTGGGCCTGGGAATTTGTATCTAGTCTGTGCAAATTGCCAGAAAGTGTTTTTTAATATAAAATGTCAACATGAAAAGCAACATTACATTTGGCTGTCAAATTAATGTAAAAGAGGAAAAAAGTAGAATATCAACTTATGCAATATAATAATAGAGTATAATAAATTAATCTTTACTCATTTAAAGAGCAAGTACAAATTGTAGATAGATGTATAGATAGATAGGCATGTTATTGAATTATTTTTGTTGCAGCAGCAAAATGTACAGGCATTACAATCTTTAAAGGTGTAAGAAAGTATAAACATAATAAAATGAACTAAAATAACAATAAAAACAATAAACAGCTGTTAATATCTACAGTATAAAGGACATGAACCACAAGAATACTCAAGTTACCTGAGTTAAGTAATGTGTAACAGTTTAATTGAATGAGTTACTCTGCACGACTGAGAAGGCTTTATATAAAAAAAAAAATCTGGGCAGTACATCTCAATGCCTTAAAGTACACATTTAAAAAGAGGACAACAAAACCAAATGCCATGGAGGAGATAACATTTGACAAGAATAAAATATATGCACGCAGTCCCAGAGCATTCAAAGGACCTATAAAGCATTTAACCTTCATGTTGTGTTTGGGTCTCCCGTGAACCGTTTCAAGTTAAAATCATACAATAACTATGCTCTAGTTTTTTTTATCGGAAAAAGGCTTCATGATATCCTCCACAGCAGCTATATAAACACTACAAAACTAATTTTGACAATTTTAGCCAAGTCTGAAGGTCTCTAAAAAAAAAGCGACATTTGGCCCAATCAAGATTCATCTTTGACTTTAGACACCCCAGCCCCACCCCCTTCATCCACTGTAATTTGTTCGCAACATGCACCTGGTCTCCCCTGCCTCTGCTCAGGGTTGCTCTGCCTCTGCCTCTGCCTCAGCCCCTCCCCCCACGGGAACTCGACCTTTCACAAAGAAATGTACACTTGAACCTGAACACACATATGCACGTGTGCAATATGTGGTGTAGGCTAATGTGTTTTGGGGCCATAAAATACAATTACAACAGGATTGTACGGTTATGAATGCATTATAAGTTAGTTATGATGTAGTTAAAACAATATTGGATGATAGTCATTATTTTGGAGTGTTCTGGACTGAGATAAATCATGGGTCAAAATTGACCCGCGAACACCATGAACGGTAACAGCTTTCGAACACAGCACAAAGGTTAAAGGGGAACTCCAATGGGTCCGCGGTCCACAGATGGAGCACCACCGTCCCGGGACAGTGCAGAATAACAACAACATGGTGTGAGCTGGGAGTCCTCTCACTTTGTTCCGGCGGGTGGAGCTGTTGTCCTCAGGATCTGGACTGTAAAACATGTATTTTCCAGTCTGTGTTGCCTGCAGCTGGTAGAAGTTGTGCAACAAACACCGCGCAGTGAGAGGAGGCTTCAGAAAAACGTCACATGAGATTTCCCGGAACTCCTAACTTTTCACTTTCCTACTGATTGTTTGTAAAGTGCACCGACGACGAGCTGCCCTGAAGACGCTTCACTGTCGGTATGTATGTTTACACTGAGTGAAGTTATACATTATTAACATGGTAGCTTAGGGCATGTGAGAAGGGACAGTGAGTCCTATGGTAGACTAGTTCATAATGTACAGTAAGCCTACACGTGAATGTTGTGCAGTTTTACTTTTAGGCTGTTGAGTGTTAGACATACATCTGTGTTTACTCAAGGCTCCTAAAAGTACTCATACTAATAATAATACTAGTGACAGCAACTGCACGCATTTTCACTTCTCCTTATTATTGATAGAGTAAACTCTTTCTGTTTGCAATTTTGTGAAATGGTTGCTGTAGGCTACCTTTTTGCCTTTATAAAAAAAGTGTCATGCAGGATTTCGCAATAATCTAAGAGCATTATCAATCCCACTATGCACTGTATAATTGATTATTATTTAAGATTGTCATATGTGGATGCATCTGTGATTAAATATCACCCCGTTGCTGATTTTGTAGGTGAAACAGGCGTTGACAGGTAGGCCTACTATCTGCCAGCTTTGTGTGATTTATTTTTCATTTAGTTTTGATTACAGTGACTTCCTGTGGTTTGACATATGGCTATCAGGCCTTTATTGTTGCAGTGTTTGCTATTAAGTGAGAACTGGCAGGAAGGAGCACAGGAGTGCTACCATATCCCAGTAACCCTGGCTTCTGGAGTGGACGGACAATACCGTGGGCCGGTCCACTGAGCAGATTGCTGTGAGGCTAAGTATAGCATGCATACAAGTAAATGAGCAGAGAGCAATGGCCCCCCTTTGTGACAATGGAGGCATTTCCCGCTGGGCTGGATTGCAATCCCAATGAAGACCCAGGTAACAGCCCTAATAGCTCTGCTTGAAATAGGAAACCCATGAACAATACAAGAGCTACAATTTCCTGTAATGATGGAGTTATGTCTCTTACAATATGCTTTTATGCTCTTACCGCCGGACAAAAGGATATGATAATCAATCTGTGTGGACTCCAGTTTGGAAGCATTATGTTTCTAACCCCGGTTTATATAAATACCGCGTGTATGGGCTTAGAGAACATGAGGTTATTCTGTTTTTGTCTTGAAACAGTCAGAGATTGTCCATTTGTTTTGATCCCTCTGCTTGTGGCCTTATTTGTACCAAACACAGTAGATCGTGCTGGAATAGTGTGTGACTTTGGTCTGCATGATCACAGCATACCAGGCATGCCATCAGCCTTATACAAGCAGAGCCTGGACCCTGAGCTCATTGCTTACTGGTACTGATGATGAAGAGTGTGTGTGGAGCAGAGAAAGGAGAGGGTCAGTCTCATCTCGCCTGCAGTCACTCTCTCTAATGGGTTGTTCCAGAGTGAAGCCACTCTTTGAAGCGTCTTGCACAGCAGGAGACAGGAGTGAGTTTGTTTTACCATTCAGTGAACCAAACTTCCTTCCTTCCTCAGAAGCAGAGTTGGTGCTTAGTGTCATTATGAGATGTTGTCTCCAAGCGCCTCCTTTGTGCAAATCAAGTTCGATGACATCCTCTTCTACGAGAACTGTGGCGGCGGCAGCTTCGGGAGTGTGTACCGATCCAGGTGGATCTCCCAGGACAAAGAGGTGGCGGTGAAGAAACTGCTCAAGATTGAAAACGAGGTAGGAGTCATAATTGCCTGGGCTTTTCATACACTTTTTAATTGTCAGTGTAGTAATCATTTTAATTGCTACCCCATTTAGAGGGATGTGGTGACTTCTATACCCATCACTCATGGTCATTATACACCCCCTCTCCACGAAAGAAACAGTATTGCCAAATGAAAGAAAGTGTTTGGCCCAATTACAGCAGGGACTGTTCTTGAGATCACTTTGAAAGCTCAGGCTCATTGTCTTACAGACAAAAAAAAAGAATTATCTTTGAAATCTTTTCACGGAAATTGTATTACATGTGTGATAGGCTGTTCAGAAAGTGAATCATGGTTTCTTTTATGAAATTGTAAAAGATCACAGATATCCATTCAACTTCACTCAAGTGTTGGAGAGATGATTGTTCAGTGAAAATAATAGTGTAATCTTTTCACATTCAACCAATTCTTTCAGTTAATTACAGTGTTTGGCTACAATTAAATGAATTGGTTTTGTCAGGTTTCTCTTCCTTCTAGGAATAGTTTTTTTTTTTATCTTTCCGGGCCAGTATGTTGTATTAAAACATATTTATATACACTTTTATATTCACGTGATAGTGGCACGGCTCTATGGATGGCTTGTCTGTCTGTCGGTCCACTGGTCTAATTAAGTAAAATATGTCATGCATGTCCATCATACACATGTACAGACATTAATAGAAAGTGGGTGAATACATTAGTGATAGCCTGACTTTCTCTACAGCACTATCATGAGGTTAACATTTGTGTTTCATATTGTACACCTATTGTATAGACTTCTATGTCATTTGCTGCAGATATTCACAGTTCCCAGAGCATGAACCTTTACATTAAGTGACTTATCCTCTAGCATCATTATGAAGTTGACATTAATGTAGGTTTATCAAAAACGTTTGGATTGATTGTCAGTGAAATGTGATACAAACCATCATGTCCTGTTTTTTAAGCCAATCCTTTAACCATACAGCGCACATACCATTTCCAAATGTCACTTTATCCATAACGTTTTATGACTAAATACATGAAAACGGATAACTATCACAACAGACTCAAGTCTAGTTACAAAATGCCAACAGCCTAAGCTTATATTGGAAACATGGTAAAATGACACCTCATTACCATCAGCATGTTAGCATGGTAATGATAACCCTGTTAGCATGCTGACATTAGTATTTAGCTGAAAGCACCACTGGCCAGTAGCACAAATTGTTACTGCAGACTCTAGTTTTTTAAACACTGACATAATAATGTTTAGACATTTGTTTTGCTACCTCCATAATCATGAACCAGTTTCAGTGATGTTTCCCACTTGTGTCTTTATTGTTTAGGCGGAAATCCTCAGTGTCCTCAGCCACCGTAACATCATCCAGTTTTATGGTGCAATTGTTGAGGCTCCAAACTATGGAATCGTCACTGGTAAGATTTGTTTAAACTCATAAACTTTTACATTTACTTTGTCATAAATACAGGTAGTCTCAATAAATGTACAATGGAGATACATCATGATGGAAAACACAGCGACTGAATCTGTTTGCATCAGTTGCAGTTTGCTCACTGCTGAATGCTGCAGAGGTTTCTATGGAAGCATTAGTGAATGCCAGAGAGTTCAGGAAGTGCACACATTGATACATTAGTTGTGGGCCCCTGTTTGTTTTGTTTGTTTAGGTTAGAGGCTGAGACAGCTCATGTAGCAAGAGGCCCTCAATGCCTCTGCACAAACTTTCTTTATACTTTGGACATGTCATTTAAATGTTATTGTATTTAAACTCTTTCTTCTCCTGTTCCATGTGTTTTGTACTGTAAAATCATTCATTTAGATGTTTCTCTTGTATTGATACACCTCCACATTTGAATCTCAGACCACCAATTTTGTTGCTTATATTTTTATCTTGTGCAGAGTTTCCTAATTTGCCTTTTTGCAGTTTTGCCTATAAGTGTTGATATGCTGTTTGCTTTACTGATGATGACCCAAATTAAAGATAATTGACCTCACAGTCAGCATATAGTATATGTAATAAGGTTTGCAACCACCAATTACTTTTTTGATGATTATAATTAATCTGTCAATAACTTTACAGAGGCGTATGCCTTTTTTCAGGTCCTCCCCTCTCCCTCTCTCCTTATTTACTCCCTGCCTCTTCACTGTCAACTGTCTGACAAAGGGGATATTGGCTTAAAAAACATATAATACATGACTTGCTAAATGTCTATCACAATGTCCAGAACCTAAGTTATCAAATTTCTAGTTTGTCCGTCCAAAAGCAGAAAGATTTATTTCACAATTATTTGAATCAGCAAATGCCAACGTCTCAGAACCGCAAACCATTTTATGTTTTCTGTCAATTAATCAATTATTTCAGCACTATATGTGATTGAGATTTAATTTGATGTTGCACAAATTAAGAGAGTTCCTTCTCTTTGAAAAAAGCAAAACTCCTCTTAGAAACGTCAGAGCTCCGCCGTTGAAAGTCCACCACGCAGCCCTACAGCAGCAGTGTATTATAGATAGCTAAGCCTACACGTAGGAAGCTTGTTTTATCGGCTCTTAACATGTTTACTGACTCTACATCAAAGGCTGAACTTCTGAGCCTCTTGTGGAAGAACAAAATACCACTCCTGTTTGACAGTGCCATAATTCGAGGGGTGTGACATTCAGGGATTGTTTGGAAACCTTGTTAATCGCCACAGGTCATATCATTGTATTGTCTTGTCCACGAAAAGTTGAACACACTGTTAGGGAAAGTCTTTGCAGCCCTCACTCACATCCTGAGCAGAGAGTATCGCTTCCTTTCATCATGTGGACAATAAACACATCCCACAGCGAAGCTTAAACTCATAAAATATGTTCTTGTTCTGCTCGTCAAAGAAACCGATAAATAAGAGAGCATAACAAACAGGGGCATTTTTACGTTACAGAATTACAGAATCTATCTTATACTAAATTCATTCAAACTCTGTAAGAACAAACATTTGTATTAATACGGTTCACAATTACACAAACTCTCTTTTCTTTAAACATGGCTTCATCTGTTTGATTTGAGCTATTTGGAAGGGTAAAATGTGAATATAAAATAGTTTTTATAAATCCTTCTTGTGATGCTGATCAGCTCAAAATGCCTTGGCTCCTGCTTGGCCCATGCTAAACCATATTTCCCAGTTTCATTAAAGTTAGGCCAGTAGTTCTTATTACTTACATAAGGATACACATTTTCCCCACAGCACACACACTGAAATGTTTTCCTGTGTGACTCATCATGTTGGCATGACTAAAATCACATAATGGAGAAAGTAATTTCCTTAACCTCCTTCCTTAACCTGGGATTTGTTTTCCCCCACCACCATGCATACAGTCATATCCTTATTGAGTGGTAGAAGACTGAAATGCTGCATGACTGAATTATGAAACCTCACCTTGTGAAATAGGACACTGTAGCAACGTTTTGCAACTGCTTTCTCTCAAGAGTTTCCCATCTGAGGTTCACACGCTCTATTTCCTGTATCTGAATATCCTCTTTATCCGCTTGAACTTTTAGGCAAAAGCCAGGTAACTTACCTGCTGTCTCTTCAGATATGTACAGAGTGTTTGATGCATTTTCCTTTGCTTTGAGCCAACACAACCAAACCGATTTTTCTGCACAGGAAGAAGTATTTTTTGAGAGCAGAAGATAAAATCTCCTAGTGTATGAACTTGTAATTAAATGTCAGGCAAAACGTACCTTCTATGTAATAGCTGTTTTTCTGAGAAAACAGTATAAAAAACTGAAATTATGATCAGTTAAGTGAAAGTTGTGATAACTACAATTGAAAACCTCAGTAGCCGCTGTAGTATTTTGCAGCTGTGAAAGAGAAAGGTCTGTTGGTTGGTGTCTCTATTTATCAAAGCAGAATTTAATTAGCAGCTAGATACAGGAACAAATGTTTATGGCTATCCTGACCATGCCATGTCAACATTCATCAGCTCCGTTATAAATGTCCTCTATCTGTTGATAACAGCATCAGGCCGGGCAGCTTCCTCTTTACAACATATCTGAGAAACCTTTCTGACTCTTAACCTGCATGAGTAATAATATATTTGCTGTCACTAAGCAGCCTCATAAACAGAATGAATTAAGGTTAGTTATTGTTTTGGGGTAAAGGGACATTAGATATACTGCAAGGCTGTTGGTTGTTCCATACGATTTGATTAAAAGCCCCTATGACATGAGGCTAATTCTCTTCGAAGAGTTAGAGTATAAACAAGGTGCGGTTTACAACAGAGCCACAGGTATTTATGTTATTTGTGGAATGTGGATGATTGTGTTTAAGTGCCAAATGCAGAAGCAGACAAGTCTTCACTGAGGTGAAGTACGGTGGGCTAGTTTGCATTTCAGACAGCTTTTGATACAATGCAAATTATAAAAAGCGCAGTCCTGACCAATAATAATAAAAACATTGGTGTATTTTATGATTGTTAATTGTAATTCTGTCTTGGCGCCTGTGCATGTTTACACTCCATGTTTGTATATGATTGGGTTATTCTGCACAAACAGGGATTTCCTGTTGGTTTGGCTGGTATGATAGTGGTCGTTTATCTTTATTCAGGTACTTTACCTCATAGAATCTCTCTGATAGATTCCACTTATTCCACTTATTTTTCCTTATAATCAAAGCTTAATCTCTACATTTTAGACAGTTTTCGTAGGGGAATTGTGCAAACATTGTTGCAGAGAACACAAAAAAAGTACACCTTTTGCTCTGCATTAGAAACTAATCTAAGAAGAAAGACTATTGATTTGTGTTTGAGTTGATAACATTTGGGCTCCTTACAGTAGGTAGCAGAGCGGCTCATAGTGTTCAGTTTCAGCAGTGATACATTGATCTAATCCACAGTGCCAGTCAGTGACAGGAGCAATCTGTAAACAAGACACTGTCAGCTGGCATCCAGGAGTCGTCTGGCTGAATTTCAAATTGCAATTGTTTTCTCATAATGCTCCCACATTCTGCACTCATTTGTACAATGTCACACCTCAAGAGAACAGTAAAGTACCTGTAAGATATTTCACCGTCACAAACTGTTCAAACCTAAACATGGTCACGTTTCTCCACAGAGTATGCGAGTGGTGGGTCGCTGTACGATTACCTGTCCAGCGCTGAGAGTGAGCACATGGACATGGGGCAGATCATGACATGGGCTGCAGAGATTGCCAGAGGTACTGTAAATGTGACACCATTTCTTGATTATATTAGGAAATAACAGCTTAAAAATGTACCAAGAACTATGTTTTTGTATTCAGAAATTATTTGAAGACCTTTCTTTTTGCATGATTTGTACTAAAAGAGGGCAGTTTATCTATGAAATCTATGACTTTAAGTTTCTGTTGATCGTCCTCTGATGTTCTCTTTATTTTCTTATTTTAGGAATGCACTATTTACATTCAGAGGCCCCTGTAAAGGTGATCCACAGAGACCTGAAGTCCAGGAATGGTAATGGATTTTTTTGTGTGTCCAAAACATATTCATTGGTACAAACATGAATGCTATATTTTGTTTAAATTGAATACATACTTTATTGGCTGACTTTTAAAACCTATTTTCTCTTTCAGTGGTTGTGGCAGGAGACATGGTTCTAAAAGTAAGATTTCATATTAGCGTATACACTGGAAATCTAATGTTAGATACATTTTGCTGCACAATAAGCTAGCCCGAATTAAGTGTTTTTCAGCTGAATATTTCAACTTTTAATTCAGAATTTTAAAAGAATATGAGCATGACATAGTGGTCTGTTTTGTACCTACAGCGTATGGACACAAGAGGGCAGTAACTAACCTAGCATGTCCCAGAAACCACTGACATCATTAAATGATGTGTTTTACCATAGGGGCTAAATAAACTCATCACAAAATACAATTTGATTTTGAAACAGCTTCTGTATGTATATGATGTACCATAGGGCCATATTCTGAACTCAAACACTAGCATAGTGTGCCAAAAGACAGAGACAGAAATATCAATTGAGTCCAGGCCCTAATGAAGTGATTACAGTACAGTACGTCCAGCATTTGTAGTATTTGCAATCACCATCATCACCACCAGATGCACACTTGCAGATTATTACAGCCTAGCGCCTATGAGTGCATAATAATAACACTGTTCTATGGATAAACTATAATAAACATTTTGATTTAATTGCGATGTTGCAATCTCAATTCTGTTTTCGTCTCTTCAGATCTGTGATTTCGGGGCATCCAAGTTCCTGACCCACACAACACACATGTCCTTAGTGGGCACGTTCCCCTGGATGGCTCCGGAGGTGATCCAGAGTCTGCCTGTGTCCGAGACCTGTGACACCTTCTCCTACGGTGTGGTGAGTGACAAGAGGGGAAAGCAGTTTTCTCTTAACTATGATACAACCTTTTCATTCTAAAGAGCAATTTTTTGCACATTGTTACCAGCCAGCAACAATTTGACTGATGTAAAGTGTTAAGGGCAGCTTTCTAAGTTCTCATAGTTAAGAGTAGGTTCTGTGATAAAATATTCCTATGTGTTACGAGTTTAAAATCGAGTTTCAGAGGTTCTATCTATTTAGGCAAACCCAGTTGAAGTCTGTTATTCAACAAGCAGTTTTAATGTAGTACTAGCCCCGTTAGTTAATAAAAAACACCTTTAACTTCTTTATTCAGTTCCTGAGATGAACATTTGATGAAGAATATTTCGACTAAGATAAGTTTGAACAGTTCTTAAGGTTATTTATTTTTGGTGCATACTGGTTGATTTCTGCCACTCCCTTTTAAGTGATTCAACAAATAGTGTCTTTAAATTCAGATAAAAATGTCCTCATAATAGCAAATCACAGAATGAAAAATTGACAAACAAGTGAGTTAATTAATAAAATATCAATCATTTCGTTTTCATTTGTATTTGGGGACAGCAGTTGAAATGATTAAACATGCCTCCGGTCAAAAGCATATTTACTTTTTCTGCCACTCTCTTTTTTTCAAGATGTAGTAACTTTGTACATTTTTGTAGAGCTTTTTGAGATTCTAAAAGACAAATATACAGAGAATAATGATTTGTATTTCTTTCTTCAACGCAAACGTAGAAATTGCACTTCACTCATGCCAAATCACCCATGCCTTAAAAACAGCTGCCAGTCCACCAGCTCCACTTATATTTTCATTTCTGCATTCCTTCTGTTGATAACAGAAGTTATTTTGACCTTTGCATTGCTTTGCCTTAGAAACCTTGTGTGCCTTTGTGCTTCTTGAAACTCTTTTCATGGCAAAAAGTTAAACTTAAAGGTGGGGTATGTAATTTAGATTTGTAATTTGTATGTCATTTTTTTAGATTTTTTCCGGTTGTGTATTTTGAAATTCTAGCACACTCGAGCTGGTTTCTCCAAAATGACCTACCCCACCTTTAATGTGCTAAAGAACTGCCGTCCTTATTATACAAGAGTCAATTACTGATATAAATCTTAATGAATTAACAAAAACATTTTATGTCATATAAACAGTTGGTAGGATTTTACTTTTTTAAACAGTGTTTATCATTGCGAGGTTTTGCAAAAATATTTCAGATTTACAGCAATATGCCGTTTTTTCATGAGCTTATTTCTATAGAATACATACATGTAATAGGAGGCAGCTGGCAAACGCAGAAATACGGAGCACATGTACAGTAGAGCCCTTGGGTGTTTGGAAAACGTCTCTCCTTCACCTTTTCATGATCTAATTCTTTAAAGATGTTGACGCAGGTTGTTATTTCTCACACTGCTGAATACCAACTGAGAAGCACCTGAATTATCAAGGGAGCCACAAATCATGGCTGCCTTTAATCCTTGTCAAAATATAAAATTGTTCTATTTGTCTATTTTGTATGTTGCATTTGGCCTCTAAGAAAAACAGAAAAGTGTTTTTCCTAATATTTGTTTACATACATGCTATAAAAACAAAAAAACACACCACCTATCTGCTCAGCCATATTTATGTATTTAGACTTTTTTCCTGTAAGAAAACCAACCCAGTGGGGAAAACAGAAGAAAAGATGATGTTGTGTTTGTTGACAAAGCATACAAATACTGGCATGCGTATCATTTTATAAGTTCTCCTGATAGCTGACCTTGGCTCTTCACTTCTGTGGCAGGTGCTTTGGGAAATGCTCACCCGTGAAATACCTTTCAAAGGCCTGGAAGGATTACAAGTGGCCTGGCTCGTTGTGGAGAAGCATGAGGTATGTGTGTGATTACGGGTGTATATACAAAAACATAGTATTGTCTCTTGGAAGTTGAAAATCATTTTGGTCCAGACAAATAAACCTTGCTTCACAATGAATCAATATTTTGGTTCATCAGTGGTTATGCTATGTTTATGGTATACACAGTAAAGAGAGGAATAGCTGCTGTTTACATCATTGTAGCTGAATTCAGACCATTCAGACCATTTGTCTGTGCATGGGGTCTAAAAGTGTGAAATATCTTGTAGGGGAAATTGTTCAACATTTTGGGTAATGCAATTTTAAGAGCTAGTTGAGAAGATGGGTTGGATGGTTAATTTGTCTTTGCTTTGATTCTTAGCAAGAAGGTGAATAAGCAAATATTCCAAAATGTCCAAATATTCCTTAAAGTCAGCTCATCCTCATACTATGTGTGTTTCAGAGGCTAACCATCCCCAGTGGCTGTCCTTCCAGCTTTGCAGAGCTCATGAAGGACTGCTGGGCAACAGAGCCAAAAGTGAGTGATCCGCTGAGAAACATGGCAATTAACAACTCATGTATGTTTCCATCTGAATCATACTGAGCAAATGTTTGTGTGTTGATTCAGGAAAGGCCAATGTTCAAGCAGATCCTCTCTACTTTGGAGTCCATGTCTAATGACAGCCAACTTCCTCAACAGTGCAACTCTTTCCTTCACAACAAGGCTGAATGGAGGTAATGTGATCAGCCCAGTAAATGTATTTATAACTCTCCTTTTTCACCAATATACTGCCTCAGCCTAAGGAAATGTGCAACTCTAGTGAATGATGTGGAAATGTAGCTGATGGGGGCCGTGAAATACAAAAAAGGACTTGAGATTGTGCATATAGATCTTTAATAATTACACTGATAACTACATAAAGGCATGAAAACCTCCAAAGAATCATCCATCTGGATATACTTCCTCTCTTTACCCATAAGGCCCTAAAAATAATCACCATCTTTTTCAAGTAGAAGTGTTTAATTGGGTTGTATGAGCAGCTGGAGGTTTGGTGATGTTCAGCACAGCCTGAGTCTCAGCTGTTACTTTATTCTCTGTCTGCCTCTCTGCGGGGCTTGTCTGTGCTCCGAGGTTTTTCCTCAGAAGTTGTGCTGGCGGCAGCATGTCCAGGCAGCCATCTGCAGGTGGAGCAGGTTGGAGTGACTCTCACTGCTGGAAAACAGACACTGAGAATATGTGGCACAGAAAGAAGATGTTGCTCAAGAGGTTGGATACTATAAGCTTAGCGTGCAGAAAGTGGAAAGGGAGGCTTGTAGGGGATCAGAGCAGGAAGTAGCTTCACCAAAACGGATGGAGAGATGATCTGTTGACCTCAGAGAGTTGCGATCTGTTGTACTTTTTTTCTATTTAGCTGATTTGCATTACACAGCAATATTGTATTTTAAATTAAACAATATCTGTCAGTTTAAAGTGCTTGGCTCAAATCCATATCGGTGCACAGTATAGGAATCAGTGGTGGAATGTAACTAAGTATATTTACTCAAATAATGCACATAAGTATACTTCAAAGGTACTTCATTATAAGAATATAAATCAACTGATACATTATGATTCATTTTTGTTGCTAAAGCTAAAAAGTACCACTTCGACCAGCTGCAATAATTAAGTGAGACATATGTTAATAAATTCTTCCAACACTGATAGAAAAGCTATACTAGGGAATATGCACAGTATAATAACACTAAATATCTACAGCTAGGCTAGCAGTACAAAGATACTGCACTTATGCACTGCAGTGCTTTGAGCCTTGATCAATATGCTAACATGCTCACAGTGATAAACATTGGAGGTTTAATGTTTACCATGCTAGAATTAGCTGATTAGCTCCAAACCAAAAGTAACGCTGAGGCTGCCGGGAATGTCTGTGCATTTGAAAATACACACTTACTGTTAAGCTGCTCTTATTGCAGACCTAAACACCTTCACAGTGACAGTGAGAATCACAATTTACCCTCACAGTCAGTGGTTTATGTCAGAGTCAGAGTCCTGGCACTGACACACTGCACTGTACACTGTTTGATCAAAGGTCAAGCACTAGCTCTGAGAGTGTGCTGTCAAAGCAGCTGATACAATTCAATGGTTGCTATGTCTAACAGATATAACCGCCAGTAAATTCATTCCTGTATAGTGTGATCTAATGATTTGGATAAGAGATAAATATTAGAGTCACATTATTTAATATCATCAAAACCTGCCTCTTAGGAGCTGAATACAGAGCTGTAATTTCCCTGTTCAACTAGTAGGATAAGAAGGTTTTTAGACAAATTAATTCTTCAGTGTTCATGGGAAATGCCAAAACTTTTGTGAGGAAAGTGGGCGGCAGGAGAAGAAATGCTTTGGGAAGTTGAGCAAGAGTGGGAATTGTTTGAAGTGGGAAGCGTTTGGGTGGGGGGGCCGGAGGGCCGGGTGGAGTCAGGATGGGCTTTCCTGCCTGGGCTGCATGTGTTTATGAACAGAAAGTGTGAGAACTTAGCTTTTGTTGGGCTGAAGCTCAGCATGGCTTTCCACGACCCACTGTGCAGCCCCCCCTGCAGGGCCAAACAAACTCCCCCCCACATGAAGAAAACACGAGGCATTGCCCTGTCCCTCCATTCAAGGCTTCAGACAAAAACGAATAACCTTCTGAATGGAACGAATCAATGGTGTTGTTTTCAGTTTGAAATGTAGAGTTGGTATACGCCACGGCTTAATTCTCTGTTTACTCCTCTTTTCTTTACACTGGGTTGTTTTGTGAGTAAGAATGGTGATCATTAAATATTTTCTTTTTGTAAACAAATCCAACGGCCTTAAACTTCTTAACTTCTTGAACAACACTGTATTACCAGTGATACATGTATTACAAACAACTGCTGTGCAGCCAAACATTGTTCAAACCCACATTACTTCATTTTAACTTCTGGTGGAAATCCCAAACTTTCCAAAGAAATCTTATATTTACATTTGAGGGAATGATGCAGCTATAAAGAATGTGAAGGCTTTGAATTGATCAATGATACAAATATCATTTATTGTTATTTGCACCACTGGATTGCTCCACGAAATGCAGTTGCAGCCTATTTAACCTACACAAAAGACACAAATCAAAACATAACATAAACAGAAGTACATTTCTGTAGTGAATTTGCACCAGCAATTTAAACAACATTAAAAAAAAAAAAGTGAATTATCTTGGCAGATGATATTGATGGCATAAAAATCATCATCAGGGAAACTCAACTTTGACTATGTATGAGCACTTCTGTATACTATCATATTGTTTTTTGTATAGTACACTCTTTCTTGTATAACTTATATAAAAATGGCCTGAATTCACAACTGACGCAACATGCAAAATGTGTACTTTGCTCTTTCTGTTTCATAATTATATTGATTGAAAATAGTAGTCTCTATTCTTCTCTATCCTGGTGTGTGCTTGAGCTCATATTTGGTGAATTGTTGACATTGTTCTGTTATTGAATACTGCAGGTTTGAGATTGAAGCTACACTTGAGAGACTGAAGAAGCTGGAGAGAGACCTGAGCACCAAAGAGCAGGAGCTGAAGGAGCGGGAGCGCCGTCTGAAGATGTGGGAGCGCAAACTCATCGAACAGTCCAACAGCCCGGTGAGTTCCTCCTTATCTCCTCTTCACCTTCATCCACCTTCACCTTGTGGTCACAGCAGCACGTTCACACTGACGTTCACATCTGTGTTTCAATACCGTTGGAGAGTCACACAATTCTCCTGATATTCCTCTGGGAGACTCAAAGAAATCAATAATATGAAAACAAAAAGTGTGGAATCACAAATGAATGGAAAAGCACATTATGATTAGTGTTTGTTATTGGCAGTACTCCATGTAGATGGTGCATGGTTGTCCATGAATTGCATATGCATTATGAGTGGAGTGAATGCTGCATATCACCATAGATTTTATATTGAACTGTGAGAATTGTAGAACTGCAGTTCATAGCATTGCTGTTTGCCTTTGTTTCCTTGCATTGCATCAGATGCACGCACAAACCCCACAGCTTGTATTCTTGTTGACCTTGTTTGCACTTTGTGTATTTGTCAAAATCATATCACTGAATGCCACAGTAGTGCACAGTGTAGATACTTTAAACATCTTTAAATCAAGAACACTGAAATAATTTCCTGTATTTCTTTCTTTTTCTATTCTCCCCTTTTTCGATTCCTTAATAACTTTCCTTCACTATCAAGTTTTCTTCTTGGCTTGGGTCTAAAATTGTCCACTTTTCTTGTTAAGTCTTATTTTTTGGTTTGAAACTGATTACTTACTTCCTTTTCATTTCTACTCTCTCTTCTGTTCTGTCACCCCTGTGCCCCTCCTCTGTACACCTGTCTCTGGCTCTCAGCTCTTCTTCCCTGTGGCAAAAAAGATAAGCGCTAAGTCGTTCTATGAGTCTAAGACGGAGGAATCAAACAGTGCACAGATGTCATGTCAGATCACATCCTCCGGTAACGAGAAGGTGAATCTGCACTCCATGATGAAAGGCTTTGAGGACATGTTTTCCTTGGACTTTGGCCGGCCTGTCCTGCACTCGGGCATGCAGGTCAACATGCAGGCCAGGCAGAACTCCTCCGTGTCGAGCAGTGTCAGAGAAGGACACAAAATCAACATGACTCTGGGGATGGGACGCTTCACTTGGTCTGACGACAGTGAATGAACCTCTCCAAACGTGTTGCCACAGCTGCATCTGTCAAAAACTGTAATCTCCCTTAATCCATTATTAGTGTTGTGGAAGCACTATTTGTAATGAATTGCTTGTTAAGTCATGATGAATTCCATCATTTCAATAAGCAACGCCAGGAAACATATCTTGGCTTGCTATTTCTTCTGCTATGTTCACGTTGTAGTCGTGGAAATCGCTTAATGTTGCACAGAAAGATATTATAGAATATATTTGTCGCCCTCCTCCTATGGATATTATTGATGTAATTGACCATATGCCTAATGTACCGGATGTGTAGTGCCATGCTGTGAAGAAAGAGCCACGTGAGCCAGTTGCTTAGAGAAGGCCAGGCTTTTATGATGAAGTGACATTTTGCTGACATTAAGATTGGCCAATTTGTTCTGGATGTGGTGGAGTGCAGTTGTTGAGACGCAGTCTCTTACCAGGATGAGAAAGCACATGTTTTTTCCAATGACTGACCCAGGTTCAAAACAGCAGCAGAGGGACGTTGCTGTGAGACTGTCAGCTTCATACCTTATTTTACTTTTTTACTTTTCAAGACAGGCTTCTTTCTAGGCCTAAAAAATAAGGAAGCAATGTTTCTGCATTAAATTTAAACATTTTAATAGAAAAATTACGTTTTATTGATACAATTTACATACAGCATAACACTATTCGTTGTAACTGAATGTAAGCCTCAAGTCCTGCCTTTACAGTAGAGTTCAATCAAATTAGCATTATTGTTCAGTAAGGTATTAGGCTTCATCTGGGGGAAGGACATGCTTCCTTGAGCATAGCCCATTAAATTGTCCCCTTTGCTTGTTATCATCAGTCAGTCTCATGAGGATGTAATCCTCTGTATTCCTGTGTTGTTGCTTGTTAGCTTCCTGCCATGAGCTAATATTCCTATTCAAACATTGTCTGTACTCTATCCACACTAGACCAGAAGACATAACAATTAACATAGACTCTTAGCAATATTAACATTTCCTTGTGAGAAATCCAGACACTTCACTAATATTTTGCCTCCACACTTTAAATCATATAATCAGCAGCTTTTTGATGTGACTTTGTTTCCTACATCCTTCACTGTTTGTCAATAAATCTGTTTCTTTAAACTCTCTGTCCATCTGTTTCATGAGAAGGATGTTGCATTGTTATTATCTAACCTTTTATGTTAGATGACAGAACAGATCATGGCTGCTACGATTTTAAAAAGCTCTAAAATATATTGCTTCATGACTCATTTATGTTGAGCTTTTTCTAGTCATATTAACTTCATACCACTTTTAACACCCTGTTTTCATGGTCTGGTTACCCATCATCCACTTAGTCCACATGGGGGCAGAATTGTGTGAACCAAACCCAACTCAAAGTATTTTTCTTCCCCTGCAGATTGCACACACATATCGTCAACACAAAAACTGTGCTTCCCATTTTGAATTTGAGATAGTTCTTTGAGAAAGAAGCGTGGCAGCACATTTGTGAAATACAATATGCTGCTTGAAAAGTGATGTTAAGTCCCTCCAATGAGACTTTGGCAGCGGCAGAGTGTTTCTGAATCTGTTTACTTCCGAACCGCAGCACTAGAGGAGGCGGAAAACGCTTTATGAGGCGGCGGGCTGCACTGAAATGTATGGCAGCGACTGTCTATTGAGACCGGCATTCAGCTCGTAATCTGAGCTGTTATCAGATGTCGTGGGAAGAAGACAGTGAATGGGAGATTACTCATTCATTTAGTCGTCTTTCCTTCAATTTTCCATTGCATTATTTCTGTCATTACACACCAGTCTTATGATCACAATGATGAAATCTTTATTTTGGCTGGCAAGTTTCTGCCTGATTACATTTAATGAGCAATAAATGATTTATCATTCAAACAGATCACGTTAGATCAGTCAGATGGACATTTCGGTTTGATATAGACCATTAGAGGCAAATCTTCTTAATCGCACAGCACAATAACCGGAAAAGTAATGGCTTTGCAGACATGGTAAACATGCCTATTTTCCATTTTAATAACATTTACTTAAGTCGTGTGATTTTTACTTTAAAACATGTCTGTCATGAATACACACGTTTCAAACTGTCTGTATCTATCCATATTCTGTTGCTGTTATTTCTATTTGTCTTTTGTTTTTATGCAGCTGCTGCCCACCCTTGACATATACACATGGACAGAGGAGCATGTGGTAAGTATCTTTGTATTTACCTCATAGCTTTATATTTTCAGTATGACTATTAAAACTAATATATATCCATTGTATTCCTTCAGTATTTCTGGATGCAGCAAATATTTGGCGCAGGTTTGTTTATTTACCTTTTCTTTAATCCAACTTTCACATCTTCTCACTCTTTATTTGTTTGATCATTGGCTGTTTCCTTTTCCCACCTCAGGGGAGGATCCATGTGGCATGCAGCTGTATGCCGACCTGTTTAAAGAAAATCACATCACTGGAAAGATGTTGCTGTTGCTCACAGAAAACGACGTGCGGGACATGGGGGTCAAGTCCAAAGGTCATGTCATGCACCTTAAGGCAAGGCAGTTATCCACCAATAAAAACGACTGTTATTTATTTAATTTAGGCTCATTGATATTTGGAAATAAAGTGATTCTCTCTTTTTTCTTTGGCAGGGAGAAATTGAAAAGCTAACAAATGATTACATGGGGTTCGTCCACTTCCCACCTCTTTTCAAGGTATATAAGCTTCGTCCTTATCTTAAGATGGAGTTTTCTGTGCAAGTTTTTATGCATATCCCCCTTTTTTCCCAGGATGCACTGGAAAAGGAAGTGGAGAAGAGTAAAGCTGTAAATCTGGAGCTGGTGTTTGGATACCACTGGAAACCAGGAACAGGGAATTCTGTAAGTTTGTAGTGAATTACTCGCGTGTACGCACACACAAAATAAATACATCACCATATTCTGCAGATGAGAGCATCAGATGTAGTTCATCTTTTGCTCTGTAAAGGACAAACAAACCATTTAGGGAAAATCACAATAAATGTTGTATCTACTTTGATTATTAATTATTATAATCTTCGATACGTTTAGTAATAATTGTTCATCTGTAAATGGATGTACAGATCATGTCTTTGCCATGATTGAAGCAGCTTCCTTGTATTGAAGCTGTTTGTTGTTGAGGATTCATGATGATGGCTGTTACACTGACCATTGAAGGCATCACTAGACATGCATAAAACCAGATGAATAAACATTTCATTCTCAGCCTTGTAGCACATCCACCTCGACTAGCTCGCAGCCCTTTGTTAGGGTCTCAAACTGTGGAGAAAGGGTGGCTCTTCACTTGCTGTTTGAATTTAATCAAAAATAGCCCATTTAGCCAGAAGTCATTTTCTTTTTAAAAGGCAAACGTTATTTAATCTTTCAGCTGTTCATTGTCCCATCATAAATAGTCCTCTTTCAGTGTGTTCGGCAGGGCTGAAACGAGCCTGCTAATTGCCTCCCATTTCTTCTGACATGTGGTGGTTTAGTGGGTAGAAAACACAGCAGGGAGAAGGAAACAGGAGGCTGAGAAAATGAGAGCTAATTATTTTCCCCTGCCTGGTGTCAGGTTCCGTGTCAGCCTTGTTTTTACAAACTGGAAGGTTTTTTGCACTAAATAAAACAAACCCGCACTGCATTTTTTTTCTTCGCCCCTCTTTGCTGGCGATGTCATGGAAGCAGCTGCACTTCTCAAAGACAAAATGAGGGCCTGCGATTGTGCGGCCACCATCTGACAGCCACTGAGGGTCCCCTACTAATGAGGATATCACCGTGCAGCCAAGTGAAAGGTGCTGAATTATGTATGAGTTGTCATTAGACGCACTCGGGTCCTAGGCATCATTACCACACATTGTTTCTGCTGGAGTGATTAGACTAGCATGGACCTGGGAGCCCCGGTGCGAGCGTCCAGTGCCGACACCGGGCCAGCGCGGGGCCACTGGTGTGTTTCTGAGCCAGCGGCTTGCCGGAGCTTCGCCTTTGAGTCGTTTCCAGCCTCTGGGGACGATGCAGGAGAGGGCGAAGGCTCCTCAGACGAGTGTGTTAGTGCCACTCCTCTGATGTCTTTCTCTGTGATCACTACACAATGGATTGGCCTGTGCCATGAACCCTTCGTGGTTAAGCGCTGACCTGTGGCTTCGTGGCCGGCTTTTGGGGATTGCCAAATTCATTACTGCTTCGTCAGCATTCAGTATGCAGGAGAGGAGGTCTGGGGAATTGTTCAGATTTTAAGCCTCCTAGTGAGGATTTGATGTATGCCGCATGCAGCAAATCATGAGAAAAAACCTTCCCCCTTATATCCTGAGAAATGAATTATGGATCCCACCAGGAATAATAACATCAAGAGTTTGACAAGGAATTCACAATGTTTTCATCAAATATTATCTATCGTCATTTGTTAGTAGCAATAGCAAAAATAATTTTATGAATGGTGAAAAATATTTTCTGCAATGTTGAGGCATAAGTATACTGATTCTATTCTATTAAAATCAGTTCTCTAAATAAGGTGTTTTCACAATGCTTTACATATTGTAACCAAGGTCATTTCTCTTTTCTGGACCAGATGCAATTTATTTATAAAAAACTGAATTGAATCATTATGTATTCTTTAAATAAGGTGTTTCAGAATGCTTTAAATATTGCATACTAATTGTTTTTGATATCATTTCTTGATTTTTGTCCCCTTCAATTTATTTATAATATATTATCAATTCTGTCCTCCCCCCACAATATGAGGCTTTGTGGCTAGTAACCTGCCACTACCATTGAACTACCTCTAGGTTGTGCTGTTGGTTTATATACAAGAGTATCCAAGTTTTTCACACAGAACACTTCAATTATAAACTTTTCCATACGATCAGGTGATATCTCAGAGTGAGACCAGGCATACGTTATCTCACCACTTTTTTTTTCTTTCAAGGATTGCAAATGGAAAATGTACTTGGAGCTTGATGGAGATGATGTTGCATTGACCTACATCAAAGATGTCATCTTTAATGCCAACCGGAAGGATGTGGAAACCCTTCGGATGACTAAGGTGTCGTCAGAAACACACATGACTAATCGTGTTTTATTAAATGCTGAATGGTGTCTATGTTTCTGGCTTAACTGGTTGCATTATATCTAAAGGGGTATTGTAGATGCCATAAGCAGATTTTTTTAACTAATCCCAATGTATTGCAGCCACCTTTTGTGATGGACAAATGGATCGTTGGAATACAGCAGAACCAGAAAGTGGATTACACAGTTAATTATGAGGTGAGTAAGAATGTGAGTCAATAGCCATTTAAAATATGAATTTGAAAATGCATCATATGCGAGTGTGCACACTTTTACATAAAATATCCCTGTATTCTCGTTCTTTTTTGACGTCAGAATGATGTCATGTCACCAAAGTCGACCAGACACAGCTGTCCAGTGGTGTGGAGTCCCAGTGGTGGACAAGACGAGATCAAGACTGTGGAGCTGGTCATACAAACAACATCAGCTGACATCGACTTGACCCTTACGGATAAGTCTAACCCTGGTAATTGTTATATTTATAGCTCTAAAGACCTGGCAAGGCAACCGATTTCACTGCTGGAAAAATAAACATGGTTGCTCTAGACTAGAGAACTACCTCATTTTACGATATCAAAAGTTAGTGAAAAGTGTAATACATGGAATTTTTTTTTAAATCAATGCTTTACTTTACTTTTTAGATATCGATCCCACGTGGATGTATAATGTAAGGCAGAGGCAGTTGATGACAGAGAAAAACCTGAAAAAGACTTCTGCTCTGAATGTCTTCACTGGCTCTGAAGCCCGCACTCTGCCTCAGTTCCTGTCTGCACATGAAAGCCAGGGGTTTTCTTATGCTGCAGCTGTGCGACGCTCTCCAAACCGGGCCCGTGGATCTCCTTGGATTGACTCACGCAGCTCTTCGCCAACCACCAGCCTGTCAGCCAAACTCTCCTCGCTCCATCTGGGGTCAAAGGGCAGCAGCCCGTCCAGCACTACGTCAGAGAGCGCCTCAGAGAGGGACCGAGAGCGGCCGCACAGCGCTGGAGTGGTGCACGACTACCGCAGAAACCGCTATTTTGGCAACACATTAAGTGTGGGAGGGGGGCAGGGTAGGGGCCATGCATGGACCAATACAAGAGATAACTATATTCATAATAAAACCAGCAAAACCTCACGACAACCAGGGAGGCCACGGTCCAACAGTTACAGCTTCACACCACAGAACCGCCCCTCCACGATACCAGGTATATCGTCTGTGACAGGAAACCCCAGTGAGGAGAAAGAGGGGGCCAAAGCCAGCGATGGAGGGTGGATCAAAGTGGAGCGACAGAAAAGATTACCACGTCAGGAGAATAAACAAGTCAGAGGTCGACAGAGAAGGGGGGGCAGGGGAGGGGGCGGTGCTGGAGGGAGAACCTAATGTGTGGCACACATGAACTGACACCTTCTTAACATAAAAAGGTTTTACATATAAATGATGTTTGCTTATATACTCACAAATGAACTGCTTGTTATAAGAGAATCCCACTGATGCCTATGATGTATATATATATAAACATACGGTTTTGTTTTTTAAAAACTGGCAGGTTGATTTAATGATTAATTATTTGTTTTAAATCGACAATTCACTTCACTTCCCACCTTTTAATATATAGCAGATGCCGCCCAGTGTGGTGGATGCATATTTTCAATTTTTTATTTATCAGCCCAGTTTATCTGATGTAATTGAATGAAATGTTTTGACACCCTTACCCATGATAAATGTTCATTTCTTCAAATCCATAACCTCTGAGTTGCCCCTGTTGTGTGTCTCTTTTTTATTTTTGGTGCAGAAATAAAACATGATATATATGATAAATAAAATAAGGCAACGCCCTTATTGATCCCAAGTCGGAAACTCGGATGTTGCAGCAGTACAGAAGTACATATGAGCATTAAAAACAAAATTACAGGGCAAAGGTGATAGTGGTTGTATGTGATAAGTATTGGAGCAAGTGAGGTATTGTGTTTATGAACATACACCAGACTAAAACATAAAATACATTAATGGTGGTATTAATGTGGAAACAAACTAAAGTATATGGTGTACTTAAACCATATAACATATTAACATATGTGCCATGGTAAAAAAGTAAAAGTACATTACAGAGCCAAAAGTGCAAAGCCTGGTGCCCCACCCCAGCCTTGCTCTTATGTTCAGGCTTCAATCATCCCCACTTCCTGCTCTTTATGTTACCTCTTTTTGTCTACTCTCATTTTCGTTGTCACTCTTTAGTGCTATATTATATTATTATTCCTTTTTATTCTGTTAATTAAACTGAATTCCCACACCTCACTTTTGACTTTCCCCACGTATAAACATTCCTTTATCAACTGTAACCCACATAAAGTTGAACCACAATATTCATTTTATTAAGTCTGAAGACAAGGTCATATTCAGTCGTGTCCTGTCTGCTTTAACGTGAAGTGACTGCTAAACTTCGGTCAGATCTTTAAACATGTGAACTCTTTGGCAGAGTTGCGCAAGAGCTCACTTTTTACCCGCGTTGCATGCAAATATACAAACAAAAAATTCGCGCCACTGCAAAGTACATGGAAGGCACACAACAATCATTGCTTTACTGTGCCACAAATGTATACGTTTGATTAGTAATAAAATATCAAACACGTCTCCAAATCTTAGAAATTACTTTTGGTTATGTATTTGTTTCTCAGTGTTTTACAAAAAGGTTATTATTTTGTTAAACTAGCTGACTACATTTTATACATCTTCCAGGACTTTCCGGTGGCGCGGGAACTGAACAGCGTGTGGTTGGCTGCAGCTGCAGGTCCTGCATTGTTCACTGCAGAGCTGTTGCTGCACACTGACTTTCTCTCTCTTTATCGGCCAAGATTATTAAAAAAAGAACAATGCCATCCACCCGCTCACAGGTAAGAAAAGCAGCCTAAAATGGTGTTAACTTGCTCCAGCTATATTGTGTTTGGTTAGCTTTTTGATGATTAGAAACTTGAACACTTAACATTTAAATCGAACGTTTCGACCAACGGTTAACGTTACCAGCTTGCCTGACTTGACTTGACTTAAAACATGCAAAAAGTGAGTAGTCAAACATGTGTATTTGGGCAATGTAAGATTTAAATTGTTAAAGAGTGTACCACCCGCCTCCTCGTGTAACTTAAGTTAACTTTTTAAAGTTGAGTTGTAAACTTTGCTTGTTAATTCGCAGTGATGGCCATCAATGAGTTTTATTGAGATATCCTATCAGCCAGTTGCATGGCTTACAACGTTTGATTTGCAACAGGGGTGTGTCACAAACTTTTGGAAAGTTAGTTTAGAAACACTAGTCGATCATTGTATTACATTCTTGAGAGGAAATTATTATAACTCCCAAGCCATTGAAAAAACTAAAATATGCAAAAGTACCCAGCTTTTTTTTATATTACTATTTTCTGATGACAAATAAAGATGTTTGAGCATTTCAGACCAATATTGTGAAGAATAATAGATACTTGTAGCACTACCGTCGACCATTTTAGGACAAAAAAAAAGTCAAGTTTTAGCTTTGTAAAAGTTGATTTAGAAGTTTGAGCCTTTGAGCAACAACCTGATTTAAGTTCAGAGGTCAGAGATATCAGTCTTAACAATGAAGTTAGATTAACTGTATAGAGTTCATTATACCCAGAGAAACCATTCAGTGCACCTGGTTATTAGAAGGCTATTTTCTAAACTTACCTGTTGTTGTTATTTGTAGAAAATGGCTGCCCAGTCTCCATCCACCAGGATGAGTCTGAGGAGCTTCCGCAGCGTCCCTCTGGTTCCCATGGAGACATCCTCTTCTGATGACAGCTGTGATAGCTTTGGCTCTGATGGAGGCTTTGCAAACACGGTAATTAAAAACAAATCTCAAAGTCTTCCTATTCCTAGAAAATAGGTAGTGAATGTGTGATGTCTTTGCAACACCATCTGAAACTAAAGATTGTGTTTTTAGAAGAGCAGTTTAAGATCCACGAGGAGGATGGCAGAGAAGCCAAAGGTGTTTGAGGCTTCATCAGAGGAGGATACATGCAGTGGGTTTATGGACAGCATGATCAACAACCAGATGAAAGCCATGGTAGGTTCATAGTGGGAAAAAATTGCAAACTTCACCCAGCAGCACGAACGTTTTCTCTAATCACTAATTGTATTTTCTTATAGAAAGTAAACTCTCCGAGACGTGGCCGCAAGTCCACCATCCTTAAGGTTGCCATGACATTCCCCACCAAGAAGACGGGCATGAAGAGGCCGGCGTCCGAACCACTCGCTCAAACCAAAGTACAGGACTCCGACTCCGAGGAGGAAGACACCTTCATGAGCAAGAGAGCCAGTAACATTAAGGAGAACAAAGAAATGGTACAATTTGCTATATTTATTTCCATTGCTTACAGCATTTGGTTATATGAACTGAACTCTCACTAGACAGCCTCCTATGTTATTGTGTTTTATTTACTCTGTTATTTATTTGTATTAGCTGGCAAAGCTCATGGCAGAGCTGAACAAAGTACCTGGACTCCTCCCGAGGCGGATGGCCATGTCTGCTTCCACTACGGTAATTTACCCTGACAATAATCTATTCATATCTGACCTTACACTTCTCACTGGAGCACACTGGGCTTTATCCATTGTTTGTATTAATTGGTGCTATTTGATCTTCTTTAGCCTCGACAGGCACCTCGTAGATCCATGGGGACGCCAGTAGCTCGTCGGAGAAACCCAGAGCGTTTGTCCCGGCCCCACACACGGTCCCGCACACAAGTGGACGGACCCCCCAGCCCAACTCTAGAGGAAGAGGCCGAGGACAAGTTCAGCCTGGTTCGCAAAAGCCGCTTCTTTGAGGAATGTGATGAGCCAGTAAGTCACACCCCAACAAACGGTTGTTTCTCTGGTCACCTTTGACGTTACATGAAAATAGTGTAATACATTTCTGTTCATTTGCAGCCCCGCCGTCGTTTCTTCAACCGCCAGAAGGCCATCCAACATGTGGTGCGGCCTGTGGACGAGATCACAGAGACGGAGCTGCAGGGCATCTGCAACAACGTGCGGGAGAAAGTGTACAACAGCTCCACCGTAAGTCCCACATTCACCGTATTGCTGAGCAGCATTGTTGTTGAAGTTCTGAGTTTTAAAATTAGAATTGAAAACGTTTTGTAAATCTCGTCCCATCTTACTTTTTGGCCCTTATCTTTTCCATGACATTTATGAATTATCTTTCATTTTAGGGATCAACTTGCCACCAGTGCCGCCAGAAAACCATTGACACCAAAACCAACTGCCGCAATCCAGAGTGTGTGGGGGTGAGGGGTCAGTTCTGCGGCCCGTGTCTCCGTAACCGCTACGGAGAGGAGGTCCAAGACGCTCTGCTGAATCCAGTGAGTACCTTTTTTAAACATGCATGGTTGCATTCACATTTGATCATGTGTGCGTTGGTAAGGTCTGACTAACTTTGTATTGCCCTTGTTAGGAGTGGGAGTGCCCGCCATGCAGGGGGATCTGTAACTGCAGCTTCTGTCGGGCCAGAGACGGTCGCTGTGCTACGGGAGTGTTGGTGTACCTGGCTAAATATCATGGATATGATAATGTGCACGCCTATCTGAAAAGGTAACTAGAGCGCTATAAAAACGATTGTCTATTTAGATTTAAATGTATTTTTTTCTAACACTAAGATTCTCTTTGCTTTACTCCAGCTTGAGAAAGGAAATGGAAGAGAGCACCGACTGAGGTGCTGATCCTGGACCTGACTGACGTGTTCTGACCGGTTTTACCTCCGCACCGTCCAAATGTTGTTCATGGTGTTTCCAGCATTACAACACAATGCTTGTTGTTCCCGTTTGTGATGTTTCACATACTTTTGGAGCATTGACTGACATCTGGAGGAGACACTTTGAGAGTTCTTTCCAGCCTAAAGCTAGTTTTGTTATTGTTCCTCATATTTTCCTGCCTGTTCTAAAGAGCTGAACCTTTTTACGTTAAGACTGGTTGATTGTACACTAAGGTGGACCAAAACAGGAAAATTGTTCAAACATTCCTATGTGTTAAGACGAATGATGTTTATATTTTCCTAACATCTTTCTCTTTTATTGCTGAAACATCCAAATTGCTCCAAAAAACAATCAGGTTGTTTAGTTATACTGTATCTTACATTGTTTTAAATGTACATATTTTTACACTGCCAACTCTAACATGAATTTGATCTTTGTGCCTTTTTTTTTTTCTAGTTGCAAATGTATGCTTGTGTTTTTACAAGATTTGTAGCCATTTGTAAATCTGCTAAAAGTGTACATGTAAAAACAACATATGATATATTTTAGATTGTATGTGCTGCAGAAGTGACCCAATGCTCTGTCTGGTGGCTGCAGGGGGAAAGGGCCCCGGCTCTGGGGTCCACTGCCTCTCACTGCTAAGCCGAAAGGAACTGTGTGATATAGTACAGCGCCTGGTTAAATATCCTTCATTAGATAACTGTCACTAATGGTGTGGAAACAATTAGCACCCTCTAATGGGAATCTCATACCTGTAAATCATTTTATCCTGTTAAAGCACATTCTCGCTCTGCTCCAGTCTCTTTGGCTCATTTTCTGCCTTACACTGTTAAGTAGGAATGGTTGAAGGTGCCACTGAAGAGGCAATAGAGTTATGGCCTGCATTTTCTGTTCAGAAGTGCGATACTCTACGCGAAATGACATGAAATTAACCTTTGCGTCGCCTTGAAATGTACTTCATTTGACCTGCACCAGGACACTGATTATACGATAC